TGCCTGTTCAAGGTTTTGATATGTTATAATCAATAAGAAATGTAACCTCTACTCTATATATAAAAAAGAGTATAAGGAATTAGGATGCCATGATTTGAAATATATAGATTTAGATATATATATATATATATGCTTGTTTCAAGTTAGATTGTTTTTAGTTTTGTCTTGCAATTAATCTTTTCTTTGATAAAATATGATAATTTTAAGAGTATATTTTATATTAATTTAATATGTTTAATAAAATTATGTTTTCGAGTTGACATTAAAATTTAAATTTTAAACTTAAGTCACAATATTACACTCGTTAATCCTACAGTCAACTGATTTGAAATATGTCTTCAAAAGAAAATGTCAAATCATCACATGATGCTAGACCAATAGTTGAGTTGGAAACATGACAGACACTCTGGTCGTGTGGGGTAATGTCTCCATAGAAACACCTTTGAGAAAATATTGTTTCTCGTATATTATTTGAAGTACCTTTTTTCATATAAAATAGAAATTTCATATGAATTAAACTAAAATTGTGCTCAAGAGGACACACATGAGGTGGGTCAACATTTAATCGTTAGCTTTAAGGTTCTGAGTTGTCTGAATTTTGTTTCTGAAGTTTCCTTTAGTTTAGACAATCATTTTAATAGCATTTAAAACATTAAATAATTTGTTTAAATAAACCAAACCTAGTTATTTTTTCTATACATTTCAAGTGTTTTAATTCACTTATATAATTTTTACACACATTATATAGTAAAATTTTGATTTTTTTTTGTTATTTACCTCCAAATATTTGATAATCATATTGGATTTTGAGTAATTTTGAATCAAATTAAGTTGAATCCCATGAGGGAGAAACTTTTCCAATATTTGTTTTTTCTTTCACAATACTTGAATTTGAAACTTTACTTAATGAAAACTAAACTCCTTCTAATCAGATTAATAAGTCGTTGTAATCTTGATTATTTATTATTAGTTAAGATTTATTTACTTTTTATAATATTTTTAAATGTAAATATTTTTTATTTAAAAAATTATAATAAATTTCAACTTTTAATAAAAAATAATAATGCATGTTTTTTTTTTTTTATCAGCAAATATTAATGCATATAAGTGGATCTTAAAATCTCACAAATTACTCCAACGCTGGATGAGAGCAAGGAAATCAAGCTTGCCAACATGGAAATCAAGCTTTCCAACTAGAGTAGTAAATAACAAGAAAGTAGCTGATGAATAATACACATATGAGAAATATTTTTTGTATATTTTTTTGTTTTATTTTTTTGTATAATTTAATATATCATTAAAATAATTGATTCTTTTAATTCATGTAAGATTCATAATATTAAATATATTTATTCATTTAATAACATATAAAAATTATATAAAAAAATAAAATAAAAAAATTATACCAAGATCACCACCCTCCACCCTGCACATATAATTCTCATGGGAAACCAGCTGAAGGTATGGGATAGAATTTTCAGACAGGAAATCTGCAAAGTTATCCTGATCCTGATCCAATAAAATAACAGTTATACTCAAGCTCTACAGGAACTTGCCTTATTCTAATAAAAAAAAAAAAAAAAAACGAAAAAGGAATTGTGACAGATCCTGCATCTACAAGACAAATCAAGGTCCCCAAAATAAAGCATAAATACTGCCCTACAATTACAGTTGATAAAACGTCAGGATAATTCACTCTTGTTTAAATTTCACCACATTTATTTTAATATTTAAATTTAAGACCTCTATTTTAGTTATTATATTTAAATTTTAATATCAAGCTCTTCTCTTTAAGGTATCAAATTCACCTTTACTAGTTCAACTAAGCTTAAAAAATAATTATAATATAATACAAGATTATATATTTATAATTATAATATATTATTCATTAAATATGACATGTAATTAAATATATAAATATATTTTAGTTATTATATTTAAATTTTAATATCAA